AACATAATATCTGTGAAATACATCCTCCTGGCTGGGTATGGTGGCTCACGCCTGTAATCCCAGCAGTTTGGGAAGCTGAGGTGGGGAGATCACTTGAGGTCAGGAGTTTGAGACCAGCCTGGCCAATATGGTGAAACCCTGTCTCTACTACAAATACAAAAATTAGCTTGAGTGTGGTGGCAGGGCCAAGCTACTTGAGAGGCTGAGGCAGGAGAATCGCTTGAACCTGGGAGGTGGAGGTTGCAATGAGCTGAGATTGTACCATTGTACTCCAGCCTGGGCAACAGAGCAAGACTCCGTCTCAGAAAAGCAAAGCAAAAAAAAAAAAAAAAAAAAGATGGCCTTGATTAGCAGTGGATTTGACAAAAGATTGCAAACTCTGCCTTTAGCACAGAGCAACAGGCAGTTGATTTGAGATGACGGCCGGAGTGGGAACTGCTGATGATGCCCAGCCACGGGCCATCTCCCATACTGACCCGGCTGCCTTGGCTTACTGTGGACTCCCTGAGCATCTAGGCCACGGCACCACTCCTTACTGCATTACCTTCTGAGAGTCACAGGACAGCTCTGAGGGACAGGGATTATTCACAACTCCATTTATAAATGGCCAAACAACATGGACAGTCGCCGGCTGGACAAGGTTGAGTTGGGATTAAACTCAGTCAACCCCAAAGCTGAGCTCTGCCCCATCTGCTCGGCTTAACATCTGCGAAATGTGCCTGTAAGTCTGCAGGTGGGAGGGGAAGCATGGTCACTTGTGGGCAAGGTCCTAGCAGAGGCTGGGAGGGAAAGTGCACTTTACAGGGGAGGACTGACTTTGGGAAGAGCATGAGGTATCCCTGCATCTAGGGGGAAAGGACCGCTTTATGATGGTGTCCGACACACAGGAGGCAGTCATTCTTTCCCTGTAAGGGGATGGCCCCAGTGTCTCCTCAAGTAAGGATCTCATACCACAAGCTGACCTGGGGATGGCTTTCAGTGGTACAAGGACAGACACTTTTTTTTTTTTTTTTTGAGACGGAGTTTTTCTTTTGTTACCCAGGCTGGAGTGCAATGGCGTGATCTCGGCTCACCGCAACCTCCGACTCTCGGGTTCAGGCAACACTCCTGCCTCAGCCTCCTGAGTAGCTGGGATTACAGGCACGCACCACCATGCCCAGCTAATTTTTTGTATTTTTAGTAGAGACGGGGTTTCACCATGTTGACCAGGATGGTCTTGATCTCTTGACCTCGTGATCCACCCGCCTCGGCCTCCCAAAGTGCTGGGATTACAGGCGTGAGCCACCGCGCCCGGCCTTCACTATTTCTTCTTAACGGTGTTACATCAATTTACATTGCAGTAGAAAATATAAGTAGCCATTGAATCAGTGTTTTCACAGATGTGTTCTTTCTAATGAGCTAAGCTAAAAAGAAGGATGTTGAAAAAGGATGCAAGTGGCAAAAAAAAAAAAAAAAAAAAAAGAAAAAAAAAAAGATGCAATCTAAACGTTCTTCAACATGGGATCAGCTAAAGAAAGGGTTTTGGGCTGGGTGCGGTGGCTCAAGCCTGTAATCCCAGCACTTTGGGAGGCTGAGGTGGGTGGATCATGAGGTTGAGAGATCGAGACCATCCTGGTCAACATGGTGAAACCCCGTCTCTACTAAAAACACGAAAAATTAGCTGGGCATGTTGGCGCGTGCCTGTAACCCTAGCTACTCAGGAGGCTGAGGCAGGAGAATTGCCTGAACCCAGGAGGCGGAGGTTACGGTGAGCCGAGATCGCGCCATTGCACTCCAGCCTGGGTAACAAGAGCAAAACTCCGTCTCAAAAAAAAAAAAAAAAAAAAAAAAAGGAAAGGGTTTTGGAGTTCCTGTCTGGGTCTGGCCATGGAACGCCCACAGACATTGTTGTGATGGAGCCAGGCTGAGGCCTGGGTGGGAAAGGAGGCTGTCTGGAGAAACAGAGACTAGTCTTGCTGCCGTGCCCGGCCTCTCTGCCTTCCAGGAGCCTGTCCACTCCTGTGCCTGCCAATAGCGTGGGCCCCAGCCAAGACAGGGCCAGACCTCACCTTGTCAGGATGCCTTTTTATTTTTGAGCCAGGGTCTCACTTTGTTACCCAGGCTGGAGGGCAGTGCTGTGATCTCAGCTCACTGCAACCTCCACACCCACTCCGGGTTCAAGCAATTCAACTGCCTCAGCCTCCCTAGTAGCTGGGATTACAGGCATGTGCTACCATGCCTGGCTAATTTTTGTATTTTTAATAGAGATGGGGGTTTTGCTGTGTTGGCCAGGCTGGTCTCAAACTACTGACCTCAGGCGATCCGCCTGCCTTGGCCTCCCAAAGTGCTGGGATTATAGGCATCAGCCACTGTCCCCAGCCCCCTTTGCCTCTTAAAGACCTCACCTCTTAATGCTGTTATATTGGGGTTGAAGTTTCAACATGGGTTTAGAGGGGACAGGGGACAAACATCCCAACCATACTCCTGATGCCCTGGATGCCCGCTTCTCAGTTACTCCTCAGCACACCATGAATGAAGTTGTTTTGGGGTTTTGTGCTCACCTCCTCCCTGGCTTCACCTCACGTACCTGTCTCCTGGTTCTTCTTCCCAGAAGCTCCCAGAAACCTCAAGCTCCAACCTGCTCTTCCTTCTGTTTGCCCTACTCAGAGACCACCTATCCTGGCTCTCAGTGGCTTTCTGAGCCCTCTCCTGCTTCGGCTGGGGGTCCTAAAGTCCCTTTTTGTTTTTTCTTTCTTTCTTTCTTTTTCTTTCTTTTGTTTTGAGACAATCTTGCTCTGTCACTCAGGCTAGAGTGCAGTAGCATGATGTCAGCTCGCTGCAACCTCCGCCTCCTGGGTTCAAGTGATTCTGCTGTCTCAGCCTTCCAAGTAGCTGGGATTACAGGCATGTGCCATCAGGCCCAGCTATTTTTTTTTGTATTTTTAGTAAAGATGGGGTTTCAGCATGTTAGACTGGTCTCAACCTCCTGACTTCAGGTGATCTGCCAGCCTCAGCCTCCCAAAGTGCTGGTATTACAGGCGTGAGCCACCACGGCCAGCCTAACGTCCCTTTTTCTGTGCAGCAGTTAGAGGGATCTTTCTATAACTCCGACTGTCATGTCCTCTGCTCAAAACCTTGCAGCAGCAAGCAACTTACTTGCAGAAAGCTGCCCATTGTTTCCCCAACCTGACGGCGGATGACCTTACTTCAGCCTGGAGGGGGAGGCCACAGTGAGCTAGGATCACACCAGTGCACTCCAGCCTGGGTGACAGATTGAGACCTTGACTCAAAAAAAAAAAAAAAAAAAAAAAAAAAAAGTCATATATTGTAGGACATGTTCACAATAGATAAATTTATCGTGGAGACAGAAAGTAGACTCGCGTCTCCCCAGGGCTGGCAGGGAGGGGTGGATGGGGAATCACTGCTTAAAAGTACAGGGTTCCTTTTGGGGTGCTGAAAAGCTTCCTGAACCACATAGCTGTGATGGTTGCACAACACTGTGAATGTCGCTAATAGTAAATTTTATGTGTGTTTACCACAATATATATATATTTTTTAGATGAAGTCTTGTTCTGTTGCCCAGGGTGGAGTGCAGTGGCATAATCTTGGCTCACTGCAACCTCTGCCTCCTGGGTTCAAGCGATTCTCCTGTCTCAGCCTCCCGAGTAGCTGGGATTACAGGCAGGTGCCACCATATCCAGCTAATTTTTGTATTTTTAGTAGATACAGGGTTTCACCATGTTGACCAGGATGGTCTCAATTTCCTGACCTTGTGATCCGCCCGCCTGGGTCTCCCAAAGTGCTGGATTATAGGCATGAGGCACCAAGCCCGGCCAGTTTTTTAAAAGTATATAAATGGGCTTAGGTGGGCGGATCACTTGAGCTCAGGAGTTCCAGACCAGCTTGGGCAACATGGTGAAAACCCATCTCTACAAAATACACAAAAATTAGCTGGGCATGGTGGCTGGCACCTGTAGTCCCAGCTACTTGGGTAGCTGAGGTGTGGAGGCTGTAGTGAGCTGACATTAAAGCACTGCACTCCAGACTGGGTGACAGAGTGAGATACTGTCTCAAAGAAACAAAAACCAAAACCAATCAGTCTCGGTGGCTCACACTTGTAATCCCAGCACTTTGGGAGGCTGAGGGGGGTGGATCACCTGAGGTCGGGAGTTCAAGACCAGCCTGGCCAACATGGTGAAACCCTGTCTCTACTCAAAATACAAAAAATTAGCCGGGGTAGTAGTGGGCGCCTTTAGTCTAGCTACTCAGGAGGCTGAAGCAGGAGAATCGCTTTTACCTGGAGGCGGAGGTTGCAGTGAGCCGAGCTTGCGCCCCCATTCAAGCCTGAGTGATAGAGCAAGACTCTGTCTCAAAAAACTAAAAAACCTCTCCCCCCTCAAAAAACCCCAAATCCAGTGCACTGTGGCCAGGAGCAGCGGCTCACGCCTGTAATCCTGGTACTTTGGGAGGCGGAAATGGGTAAACGGTTTGAGGTTAGGAGTTTGAGACCAGCCTAGTTAACACAGTGAGACCCCCATCTCTATTTAAAAAATATAAGTAAAGTTTTTAAAATTTAAAAATTATATAAAAGAATAAAACAGCTTCGCATAGCCACCCATAAGCCATCCCCGACCTGGGTTCTTCTCCTGTGACCCGGGTAATCATCTTGGGAGGCTCTAACGCCCGAGGTGGTCAGGAGGCGGCGAGCACCGAACCCCTGAGTTGGATCTACGGCGGCTTTCCAGCGGCAGGCGCGGGCGGGTCTACCTGTAGCAAGCTCCGGACGCTCTGGGGCGCGGCTCTGTAGCGCCCGCCAGTCTGCTCGTCTCTCGCGTCCTCTAGCTCTCAAATCCGAGCGCAACCTCGAACCCAGTGCACCTGCCGCCCCGCCGTCTGCCTGTCAATCTGCTCCACCGTAACCACGCCCTTCCCGCAGTCCCGCCCGGCCTCTGTTCTTAGCGCGCCGGGCTCCGCCTCTGCCCTTCCAGGCCACACCCCCATCCTGGCCCCGCTTCCCGCACGTCTGTCAATCCTCTTCGGCCCCGCCCCGCCCTCCTCTCGCCGTTCCCTCTCGTCGGCCTCGGCGCGGCCCGTTGTTATGACGACACGGTCGTAAATCCGCCATCTTCCTGCGGCGCGTTGCGACATGGAGGGCGCGATGGCAGTGCGGGTGACGGCCGCTCATACGGCAGAAGCCCCGGCCGAAGCCGGGCGGGAAGCGGGCGAGGGCGGGGTTGCGGCGGCGGCGGCTGCCTTGGCACCCGGCAGCTTCCTCGGCCTCCCGGCGCCCTTCAGCGAGGAAGGTAACTGGGCAGACGCGGAGGGCGCGGCTGGGGTGAGGGCACTTCATCCCGGGCTGGCGGAGGCCCCTATGGCCCGAGCTGCGGGCGCAACAGACCCTTCAAGACCCAGACTTCTCGCAGACCCCGCGGGGCCCTCACAGCACTCCACGAGACCCTCAGGTTTACTGCGACCCTCACGGGTCTCTCCTGTGGGGCGCCCGTCACCCCCCTCGTCCCAGTGCCCACAAGTGATCGCGGATTGCTGAGCCCCCGGGCGCCTGGTGTAGACCTTCGTAGACGCCGCCACCATCAGCCCTGCCCCTCGGGCCGGCGTCCGGGTCCCACTATGCCTCCGATGCCTGAGCCTGGTCCTACTTTCTTCTGCGCCCCTTCCCCCTGCACTTCATGAGCCTCTAGGGCCCTGTCCAGTTGGGGTTGGAGGCTCCAAGAGGGCGGGGCCTCGGTTTCTGCAGGATCTGGCCTGTCCGTGGGGAGGCAGCAGAGCCACGTGCATGAGGGCTGGTGCACTGCAGCCAGCCTGTGGCCCGGTCCAGTCCCAGACTTGCCACTTTCTGCCTCTTTGGTCCTAAGCAGGTGACTCCCCACCTGTGAACCTCTATTTCCCCTACAGAATGGGGCGGCAGCTTCTGCCAGTAATGTCACAAGCCCTTACCCTTGTGTCTTTTCATTCTCAAACCATTCCTGACAGGTAGACGTTGTTATTCCAATTTTGGGGATGAGGAAAATGGAGAGTTGGAGATTTGACAGTGACCGGGTCACCCAGGTAGTAGGTAGCAAGGGCTGGATTGGATCCCAGAACTGTGAAAGGCTCCACCTCAGCCCCTTTAACTTCTGGGCTCTGCTGCCTTATAGAATTAAAAGAGAGATTGCCGCTGGGTGCAGTGGCTCACGCCTGTAATCCCACCACTTTGGGAGGCCAAGGTGGGCAGATCGCCTGTGGTCAGGAGTTTGAGACGAGCCTGGCCAACATGTTGAAATCCTGTTATAAAAATAAAAATAAGAAATTAGCCGGGCGTGGTGGAACATGCCTGTAATCCCAGCTACTCGGGAGGCTGAGGCAGGAGAATCAGCTGAGCCTGGGAGGTGGAGGTTGAATTCGAGGGTGGAGAAAGGGCCAAACCACAGCTGTGACTCACCTGCAGACGGCCACCCAACAGAGAGCAGACCCTTCCTGATGGCTCCCAGTCACAAACCAAGCTCTGAGGCATCTTCTACCCTCTTCCCCTTCCCACCCCACTCCAGGGTCTCACTCAGCACCAGGGAATGGCCACCATGGGACCCCATACTCCAGAAGGGGACACACCCAGCCCATTTCACCCTGAGGCAAGGCCACAGGGTGCCTGCATTTGCCTCTCAGCCAGAGCCGGTGGGCATCGGTCTATAGGGCCCCCTTGTACCCCACACCCTGCAATGGGTCAGCCCATTTTACAGATGGGATAGCTTAGAGATGGTCACTCAGACACCCCAGCACTAAGATGCCCCAGGGCACATTCAAACTCCAACAGTTTTTGTTTTGTTTTAGTGTCTTTTAAGGCATGCTCTTGCCCTGTTGCCCATGCTGAAGTGCAGTGGTGCGATCATGGCTCACTGCAGCCTCAACCCCTGGGCTCAAGCAGTCCTGAGTAGCTAGGACTACAGGTATATGCCACCACACTTGGCTAAATGTTTTTTGACTTTTTTTTTTTTTTGAGACGGAGTTTCGCTCTTGTTGCCCAGGCTGGAGTGCAATGGCGGGATCCCGGCTCACCGCAACCTCCGCCTTCCGAATTCAAGTGATTCTCCTGCTTCAGCCTCCCAAGTAGCTGAGATTACAGGTGTGTGCCACCACGCCTGGCTAATTGTTATTTTATTTTATTTTTTTTGAGATGGAGTTTCACTCTTGTTGCCCAGGCTGGAGTACAATGGCGCAATCTCGGCTCACGGCAATCTCCGCCTCCTGGGTTCAAGCAGTCCGCCTGCCTCAGCTTCCCAAGTAGCTGGGATTTACAGGCCTGTGCCACCATGCCCAGCTAATTTTTGTATTTTTAGTAGAAATGGGGTTTCTCCATATTGGTCAGCCTAGTCTTGCTTGAACTCCCCAACAGGTGATCCACCCGCCTCAGCCTCCCAAAGTGCTGGGATTACAGGCATCAGCCACCACGCTCAGCTTGTATTTTTAGTAGAGATAGGGTTTCACCATGTTGGTCAGGCTGATCTTAAACTTCTGACCCTTAGGTAATCTGTCCACCTTGGCCTCTGAAAGTGCTGGGTTTATAGGCATGAGCCACTGTGTCTGGCCTAAATTAAAAATGTTTTTTTTTTCTTTTTTTTTTTTTTTTTATGACGGGGTTTCACCATGTTGGTCAGGTTGGTCCTGAACTCCCGACCTCAGGTGATCCGCCCGCCCTGGCCTCCAAAGTGCTTGGATTACAGGCGTGAGCCACCACACCTGGGCAAAAATGTTTTAAACACATTTTTTTTTTCTTTTGGTAGAGACAGGTCTTGCTACGTTGACCAGGCTGGTCTTGAACTCCTGGGCTCAAGCTATCCTCTCACCTCATTCCCTCAGAGTGCTGAGATTATAGATTATAGGCATGAGCCACCATGCCCGGTCCCACTAGTCTTTTTTTTTTTTTTTGAGACGGAGTTTTGCTCTTGTTACCCAGGCTGGAGTGCAATGGCACGATCTTGGCTCACCGCAACCTCTGCCTCCTGGGTTCAGGCAATTCTCCTGCCTCAGCCTCCTGAGTAGCTGGGATTACAGGCAAGAGCCACCATGCCCAGCTAATTTTTTGTATTTTTAGTAGAGACGGGGTTTCACCATGTTGACCAGGATGGTCTCAATCTCTTGACCTCGTGATCCACCCGCCTCGGCCTCCCAAAGTGCTGGGATTACAGGCTTGAGCCACCGCGCCCGGCCTCCCAATAGTCTTAAATCCTGGTCCTTTACTGTCCCCAAACCAGCATGGAGAAATCCCTCTGCCTCCCAGCCCCTCTCTGGGCCTCTCACCTATCATTGCTGAGGTGGGGGCTATGGGCATGGCAGTCTTAGCAGATGCCTGCAGCCTAAGCATGCGGTCAGGGCTACCCCTTGCTGGGTGCTGACCTGGGGGTGGGTCTGGCCCCTGCAGACCTGTATCGGATGGGAGCTATACCCTGGGGTGACCTTGTTTTGAGCTCGAGTGTGTTCTCAGCAGCCTCAGGAAGTAGCTCTGCTTCTGATGGCCTCCTGGCGGAGTCTCTTCTGGGGCTGGAGGAAAAGCCAGATGGGGCCCTGTCTGCCCAGCCTCTGCCTCCCAGGCCCTGCTGACAGCAGGCTTGTTGCAGATGAGGATGATGTGCACAGATGCGGCCGCTGCCAGGCAGAGTTCACTGCTTTGGAGGACTTTGTTCAGCACAAGATTCAGAAGGTCTGCCAGCGGGCCCCTCAGGAGGCCCTGCCCGCCACCCCTGCCACCACAGCATTGCTGGGCCCAGAGGTGAGCCCCAACCCACTCCCCCACCCCCTTCTGGGTTCACCTGATGGGTGGGGGAGGAGGCCGCACTACAGGATGGACCTGTGCAGCTGGTTCTAGAGGCTGCGTGTGGGGGCAGAGGGCAGGCACCTAGCTGCAGTGTGGGAAGGTCCAGGTTTGTGAGCCTGTGGCACTCTGGGGTGTCCTAGAGGGCCTGCGGTGGCCCAGCCTTCTCAGCAGCCTCTGGCCAAAGCCCGTGCAGTTGGGAGCTGGGATCCCTTCTTTCTTGGAGGCTGAGGGGTCTTCCTTGGCTCTGGGGTACCATGGCAGCCTTTGTCCTTTTGGCTTATCTTCTGTCCTGCACACACAGTCCCTGGGGACTTCACAAGTGAAGTGTGGCCGTGGGGATACCACCGTCTTATCATCAAAATGGTCACCTTTGCTGAGCCCCATGCCCAGCTTGGGCTGGACACACAGGCCTACGAACCCCGCATACGCTGCAGTGGACGCGTGTCATCCACATTGCACAGAATCAGGAGAGCAGGCTCAGAGAGTGGTCATAGTCTCCGGCCACCAGCAGGGCGTGGCCCAGGTGATGCTGGACCCTGGTCACCTCACTCTGAGCCTGTGCTGTTTACCTATCCCTCAGAGAGGTGCCCCCTCCTTCAGGAAGGCCTCTGGCTCACACCCCCAGGGCCCTCTCTGACCACTTGGCTGGGGCTGTGCCATCACTCCTGCAGGCCAGTCCAGCTTCCTGCCAGAGTTGCTGGTCCCTCCCTGCAGATGCCCTGTGCTCCAGGTCCAGCCCCCATGGCCAGAGGTGTGAGAGTGACACTGCGGACCCTGGCCCTGGGCTGAAGGGGCTGGGCTGGGACCTGTGGTCCAGTGGGGGAAGATGAGAGCCCCCACCACCGCTGTCCCAAGGACACAGATCCAGGCTTGAGCGCCACAGGTCACACCTCCACAGCTTTACACCAGCAGAGCCCAGGCCTCTTCTCAGAACTCTGGAGCACACAGATAAGTCCCCTCTGTTCCCTGTCCCTGTTGACAGGTGGTGCCGGCGGCGCCAGGCCCAGAGGAGCCCATCACTGTGGCCCACATCGTGGTGGAGGCAGCCTCCCTGGCAGCAGACATCAGCCACGCACCCAACCTCGTTGGTAAGCCAGCTGTCATGGATCACTGACCTGATAGACCTTCGTGGTGGGGCCTGAGGATGGGGCCTCTGCTGCCTGTATGCTCATCTCTCCTGAGAGCAGGGCCTGGCTGGGAGGGGTCTCGGCCTTGGGAGCCTTTCTGTGGGCACAGCCTGCAGGAAGAGGAAGGAGGGAGGAGGGAGCATTGGGCACCGAGCCTTCCTCAGGTGGCACCAGGGAGTCTTCAGGTTGTGCTCTCCCTCCACCTTTCCTGGGCTGTCTCTGCCCTGCTTCTCCCAGAATCTTCCCCACTTCCCTGCCACCCCTCTGGTTCCTGCTCTCTGCTTGTAGGCAGTAACACCCCCCAGGTGGGTGCGGAGTAGATGGATGGGACTCTCCAGCCAGGCCTGGACTCACTGCTGGCCTTGGCCTGCCCTCCCAGTCCTCACTCTGGTCTGGGGGTGGCGGCTGCTGTACTGGCCCTCACTGGGCTTTCATGAGCGTGGAATGCCAGGCTTCTTTGATGGTTACTTTTATTTATTTATTTATTTTTAAGACAGGGTTTCACCGTGTTGGTCAGGCTGGTCTTGAACTCCCAACCTCAGGTGATCCGCCTGCCTTGGCCTCCAAAGTGCTTGGATTATAGGCGTGAGCCACCACGCCCGACTATGTCTTCCTGATGTGGTGTGGACGGTCTCACTCATCAGGGACAGATGTGTGTGCAGGGGTGACATTCAGAGCCAGCCAGGGCCTGGAAGGTTGAGGGAGCTAGAGGCTGCTGGGGTTGCGGTTGTGGCAAAGGCAAGTGGCTGGGTGTGCAGATGCCAGGGAGGGAGCTGGCAGGGGCCTGATGCTCTGGGAAGTAGGGCGGGGTACAGCTGCTGTCTGGGGAGCCTGCTGGGCCGAGGCGAGAGAGGCAGGGAGTGGGCAGCTGGACAGGAAGTAGGTTTGGGCACCAGGTGGAACCTGGCATTGGGCAGCCCTGGGGACCGGCTATGGCAGGAGGAGGAGGAGGTAAGGGAGCCATGGCAGAGGCCAGCCCCGGGCCTGGGAAGGGCACCCGTGAGCAGGCTGCTCTCCGGGAGGCAGCCGCAGCACCTGCCTCACCTCCGTGCTGTCTTCCCAGCATTCCTGCGACCAAGACACTCAGAGCTTGGAATGTTCGTGTGGGAGGGGCAGGGCTCTGGCCTCGGCTTGGCTTTTGGTTTCAGGGTTGGTGGTGTCCTTTCGGAGCATGAACTCCCGAGGTTCTGGCGGGGTCTTGGAGCTTGGTCTCTGGCCAGCCAGGCCCCTTTCCAACCACCTGACCTCCAGCAGCCCCCAGGCTTGGGCCCAGCACCCCTCCCTATGCTTCAGGGGCCCCCCTTGGCACCCCTGCCACTCTGGCACCCCTAGGATTTTCCCCTTTGCAGGCATCCTGGGTACCCTGAGTGTGCTCTTGGCCAGTCAGCAGGCCCGGTGGACTGAGCCCAGGGTTGCCAGCTCTCCTGTCGGCCTCCAGTGGAGATGGCACAGGATCCTGCCTGCTGGCAGCCCAGGGACAGGATGGTGCCAGGACCTGTCTTTGCGGGTGCAGGGGCGCAGTCAGCTGTGTGGGCAGCTGGAGCTCACTTCCAGGCCCTCCTGCCTTTTCTTTGGAAAAAACTCATTTCTTCTCTGTGGCCTTGCGGCAGCCATGTTCCCTCAGGTCCTCCCATCAGAGGCCTCTGTCCTTTGGAAGATCACCTCTGGGGCGTCGCGTGCATTGCCCAGGGCTCAGGCAGGAGGGGCCTTTAATTGTTTCTGAGTCATGGCGCTTTTGTTGTTTTTTAAGAGAACAGCTTGTCAAAACAAGACGCCAGCCGGACTGAGGTGATTTCTTAGAAGTGGCCTCACACCTGTTTCCCGTTTGTCATCTTTATGAGCAGAAAGCGTGCAGTGTTTACAGCCAAGCTTTGCACATTGTCAGATCTTCCCAGCACCCTCGAGAAGTGCAAAAGCCCGGCTTGCTCGCCCCAGGCTGTCCTGGGTGTCTGGAGAGCGTTCATTCCCCAAGGCCGAGCCTGCTTTGGGACTGGGCTCTACCCTGCTGGGTGGCCCGGCCCATCTCTGAAGGAGGAGTGACCTCCCTATGTTGGTGGGAGCCATGGCAGTAAGCAGGACAGGCAGCTGTCTCTGCGCCCAGGGACCTTGTCACCAGAACGCGCATGTCCTCTTGGCTTTGGGGACGGGGTATCTATGCTCACGCGAACACATCTGGGGGCCCTGGAGCATCTCCCGGCAGCCCGGAGGAGTCGGGAGCATCTCCCCGCCTCTCCTCTGACCTGGAAAGGTGAACGATGCCTCGGCTGTTGCTCGGGCCTGTGTGTTGAGGGCTCAGTGCCGGTTGGATCCAGGCTGCGGCCCACAGCAGCAGGTCCCCTCCCTTGGTTCCGGCAGTCTCTGGGGTCTCTGGGCAGGGGGCGTGTCCTGGGGTTCAGGTCGAAATGCCTCTCCTAGGTGGTGGGCACATCAAAGAGGTTATCGTGGCTGCTGAGGCAGAGCCAGGGGACAGCGAGATGGCCGAGGCCCCGGGCAGCCCCCACCCTCAGGGGCTGGGGCTCACAGGGGACAGCGAGCAGGCCCAGGTGAAGCTCCTGGTGAACAAGGACGGCCGCTACGTGTGTGCGCTGTGCCACAAGACCTTCAAGACGGTGAGCCGGTGTTCAGGGAGCCAGTGTGTGGGCAGCAGGCCCCATCCTGCCCCCCTGGGAGGGCCCTGAGCTGCCTTGCCCTCCCCCACAGGGCAGCATCCTCAAGGCCCACATGGTCACTCACAGCAGCCGCAAGGACCACGAGTGCAAGCTCTGCGGGGCCTCCTTCCGCACCAAGGGCTCGCTCATCCGGCACCACCGGCGGCACACGGGTGAGCTGGCCGCGCCTTGGCCCGGAGCCCTGCAGCACCCTGACACTGACCCTGGTGTGCCCCAGCCTCGAGTTCCCCAGCTTCGGGGGAGGAGGCAGGGCCCATGCCTGCCTTCGCCTCGTCCTCTCGTCACCAGCCTGCTGGGGCTGCCCGGGGCTGACTGGGTTCTCTCTGCAGATGAGCGCCCCTACAAGTGTTCCAAGTGTGGGAAGAGCTTCCGGGAGTCAGGTGCGCTGACTCGGCACCTCAAGTCTCTCACCCCCTGCACGGAGAAGATCCGCTTCAGTGTGAGCAAGGACGCGGCTGTCAGCAAAGAGGACGCGCCTGCAGGTCAGTGTGACGTGGGCAGCTGCCTAGTCCCAGGGGCTAGCTGTGGAACCAGCCGCCACTGGGGTGTGAGGGATCTTCACTCCCTCACTCTGCCTTGAAGGGTCTGGAGCTGGAACTGCAGCCTTGGGGACAGTCACATCACCGGTGACAGGCGAGCCCCTAGAGACCTCACCTGTGATTCACCTGGTGACAGATGCCAAGGGCACCGTCATCCACGAAGTCCACGTCCAGATGCAGGAGCTGCCCCTGGGCATGAAAGCCCTGGTCCCAGAGGTGGGGGCCGGCAGGGGAGCCCCGTAGGGCAGCTCTATCTTCTGTCCACTCAGTGCCAGTCTTGGTTCTGGGCACTAGCTCCAAGGGTCTGGGCCAGGCAGGCAAGAGCTGGGCTTCCCGTAGGGAGAGCAGGGCCAGTGGGCGCGACATGGGGCTCCAAGGGTTTGCACCAGGCCCCTGGCGTGGGTCTGCCCCATGGGGTGGTTGAGGGTGGGTGCCGGATGTCAGGCTGCTCGGCCAGCCTCCTCTCTCTGCCTCCCCTGCAGCCCCCCATCTCCCAGGAGCTCCCCTGCTCCAGCGAGGGCAGCCGTGAGAACCTGCTGCACCAGGCCATGCAGAACTCTGGCATCGTCCTTGAGCGTGCTGCGGGGGAGGAGGGTGCCCTGGAGCCAGCCCCTGCTGCCGGGTCCAGTCCCCAGCCCCTGGCAGAGGCAGCCCCGCAGGTGCCGGTACTGGAAGTACAGCCGCTGGAGACAGTAGGTGCCACCTGCAGGCCCCTCCCCTGGGCTGGACTCCAGGGCTGTCCCCATGCTGGCCTTTGCACTTCCTGCAGTGGCTTTCTGCAGTGACTTTGTCCATTGATCTGTTTACTACCTTCCCTGGGACTGTGAGGGAGCCTGTCAGGGTGGGGCCCACGGTTGGGTCCTTGGCACTGCCAGGGCACAACCTCCCCCAGGTGCTGGAGGCCTTCCTGTGGTTCCCCAGCAGGTGGCCAGCGAGGCCTCAGCGGTGCCCAGGACCCACCCATGTCCTCAGTGCAGTGAGACCTTCCCGACAGCAGCCACCCTGGAGGCCCACAAGAGGGGCCACACCGGTGGGTGATGGGTGGGTGTGTGGCCCATGGCAGTGGATGGCCTGTAGGTGGCTGGGGTGCCTGTGGTTGTCCAGCGGGGAGCCAGGGGAGCCGTGGGCAGGTGGCAGGTGGCCGGGCGGGTCCGCAGGTGGTGGGCCTGGCCTGATGTTGTGTGTGGCTGCAGGACCAAGGCCGTTCACCTGCACGCAGTGTGGCAAGGCCTTCCCCAAGGCCTACCTGCTCAAGAAGCACCAGGAGGTGCACGTGCGTGAGCGCCGCTTCCGCTGCGGGGACTGCGGGAAGCTGTACAAGACCATTGCCCATGTGCGCGGCCACCGGCGCGTCCACTCAGACGAGCGGCCCTACCCTTGTCCCGAGTGCGGCAAGCGCTACAAGACCAAGGTGAGTCTCTGGCCCCAGGACCCTGGCGCCTGACCCCATCCTCCTGCTCCCTGGCCCTGGCCCAGGTGCACCCCGTTTGCTGCCTTCACCTTGCTCAGTCTTGACCCCGGGCCCAGAAGCGGGAGGGGAGAGCTGTAGTCTGTTGTGGCTGAAGCCGGGCCGGCACTGAGAGGCGTCCCCACAGAACGCGCAGCAGGTGCACTTCCGGACACACCTGGAGGAGAAGCCACACGTGTGCCAGTTCTGCAGCCGGGGCTTCCGAGAGAAGGGCTCACTGGTGCGGCATGTGCGGCACCACACAGGCGAGAAGCCGTTCAAGTGCTACAAGTGTGGCCGGGGCTTCGCGGAGCACGGCACGCTGAACCGGCACCTGCGCACCAAAGGTCTGGTCCAGCGGAGGTGGGAGCGGGAGCGGGAGAGGACCGGGGCTGGCCAAGCCCTGACAGAGTCCCCCCACGCAGGGGGCTGTCTGCTGGAGGTGGAGGAGTTGCTGGTGTCCGAGGAGAGCCCTGCGGCAGCCACTACTGTCCTCACGGAGGACCCGCACACGGTGTTGGTGGAGTTCTCGTCCGTGGTGGCTGACACCCAGGAGTATATCATCGAGGTGGGTGTGAAGCCCTGGGGCTGGGATGGGACCCTGGGGCTGCCAAAGCTGACCTCTGCCCTTTTGCCCATCTGCCCAGGCCACTGCGGATGATGCAGAAACCAGCGAGGCCACGGAGATCATTGAGGGCACCCAGACGGAGGTGAGGGGCGGGGCGGGCAGGGGCGGGGAGGCTCCCTGGCGCAGCCGCTCTCGCTGAGCTGTGGCCCTGCAGGTGGACAGCCACATCATGAAAGTGGTGCAGCAGATCGTGCACCAGGCCAGTGCTGGCCACCAGATCATCGTGCAGAACGTCACCATGGATGAGGAGACGGCGCTGGGCCCAGAGGCAGCTGCCGCCGACACCATCACCATCGCCACTCCCGAAAGCCTGACGGAGCAGGTGGCCATGACGCTGGCCTCGGCCATCAGTGAGGGCACTGTACTCGCTGCCCGAGCAGGGGCAAGTGGCACTGAACAGGCCACTGTGACCATGGTGTCATCAGAGGACATAGAGATCCTGGAGCACGCGGGCGAGCTGGTCATCGCCTCGCCAGAGGGCCAGCTGGAGGTGCAGACAGTCATCGTCTAGCATGGGGCCTGTGGGGACCCAGCAGGGCAGGGACAGGGCAGAGGACTCTGAGTGCCCCACCCATGCCTGCCTGGCAAAGAAGATGGCACAGAATGGCAGTGCCCCGAGATGGGCAGTGTACATAAGTTTCTTGTTGCTTTACAATAAAACATGAGAACCTGCAGCTTGTGATGTTGTTGCAGCAGCAGCCTCCACAGCTGGTGCCACTACCTTTCCCCGGGGCCTGGCAGCAATACCTGCTTCCCAGGCCACCGCTAAACTCACGTGCCTGGCGGCCTCACCCAGGAACTGCCAGCCCTGGTGGCGCCCTGGTGGTGCGTGGGTGCCATTGGCATGTTGACCAACAACCTCCTGCCCTGCCCAGCTGGAGCCATGCCCCTGGCCACCTGAGGCCTGCAGGGTGGGTGGGAGGACCAGGGATGGGGACAGGGAGACCTGGGAGCCTTGGCCTCTGTCGCAGGGTCAGCAGGTGCTGCAGCAGCAAGAGATGCTCTGCTGGAGTACGGCGGGTCCTTCCTGCGCTGCCTTTCTTTCCCTGACGGGATTCTGCTCAGGGAGGCAGAGTCTAGGTGACCTAGTTTCTAGGGGCAGGACAAGAACACAGCCAGGACTGGGATGTGGTCACCGTCTGCCCCCCATCCTAGGGGGCTGACAGGGGCTTCTGGGATGGTTCTAGGGAAGGCCTGGGGTACAAGAGACAGCTAAGGCAGGTCTCCCACCCCTTACCCTGGGGGTCTCCATGGGAATGAGAGCCAGGAATTCATGGGCACCCAGCTCGGTCAAGGGGGCGGGACCCAGTGCAGCCTGGCCCCTCCCTGCATCAAGGCCTCAAATACTGGCCCCTGCGCTGGTGTCACAGCTGCTGCCAGAGTCAGCGCAGTCCTGTGTCGGGTGTGCCCCCAGCCTAGACCAGGATCCCCATTCCTCCAGGACCCCCTGAGCCTTGGGCCGCAGCGCCCACATCCCAGGTGAGTCTCCTGGCTGCACCGAGCTAGGGCTGGATGGGCTGGGCCCTCTATTTGGGCTGCGCTTCTCGCGCAGTGGGAAGGCAACAGTCGCTGAGAGCCCAGCAGTGCCCTGGGAGCCTGCAGAGAGCAAGGGCAGATGCTGCTTCGCACTGGCCGGCACGGGGCGGCCACGGAGGAGACGGGTGGGTCGGTGGGTCTGACAACGGGTCTGCGTAGGCGGCCGCGTCTGTCCCTCCCAGCCCCGCGCTCCCCTCCATGGGCTGGCCCTGGGCTCTGCTGGCCACGCTCTGGGCGCTGGAAGCCGCCGGGGCCTCTGCGCTGCGCATCGGAGCCTTCAACATCCAGAGCTTCGGGGACAGCAAAGTGTCGGATCCGGATTGCGGAAGCATTATCGCGAAGGTGGGGCCCGGGCCGGGGCAGGGTGGGGTTTGGGGGTGCTGACCGCGCTGACCCCCCCCACCCTCCACTCCTCCCAGATCCTGGCTGGCTATGACCTCGCGCTGGTGCAGGAGGTGCGAGACCCGGACCTCAGTGCCGTATCCGCGCTCATGGAGCTGATCAACAGGTGTGGTGGGCAGGGCCCCTCGTCGCGCCCCCGGCTGGGATCTTCCCCCTGCGCAGCGCCCTGACCCCGGACCGGCTGGTGTCTCCACAGCGTGTCCGAGCACGAGTACAGCTTTGTGAGCAGCCAGCCCCTGGGCCGGGACCAGTACAAGGAGATGTACCTGTTCGTGTACAGGTGAGGGGGGCGCGCAGGGAGGGGGGCGCGCAGGGAGGGGCGGGCGGGGCGGAGGTGGTGGGGGTTTCAGCGGGACCCCCATCTCCTAGGAAGGACGCTGTGTCGGTCGTGGACACCTACCAGTACCCAGACCCCGAGGACGCATTCAGCCGTGAGCCCTTCGTCGTCAAGTTCGCCGCCGCTGGCCTAGGTGAGCGGGCCCCGCCCCTCCCCTTCCGCCGGCCCCACCCCTCCCCACCTGCCGCCCCTGACGCCCCCACCCCTTCCCGCAGCTGCGCGGGAGCTGGTGCTGATTCCGCTGCACGCGGCGCCTCACCAAGCCGTGGCGGAGATCGATGCGCTCTACGACGTGTACCTGGACGTGATCGACAAGTGGGGCACGGACGTAAGTCCACCCCTTGGTCCCGGAGTCCCTGCAGACACGCCCCGGGGTCTGGGCCATGAGGGCGGGGCCTCGCGGCTTCGCGGCAGCTCAGACCCGGTTGCGCCGTGCCCCCAGGACTTGCTGTTCCTTGGCGACTTCAACGCGGACTGCAGCTACGTGCGGGCGCAGGACTGGGCAGCCATCCGTCTGAGGAGCAGTGAGATCTTCAAGTGGCTCATCCCCGACAGCGCCGACACCACAGTGGGGAACTCCGACTGCGCCTACGACCGCATCGTGGCCTGCGGCGCCCGCCTGCGCCGGAGCCTGAAACCCCAGTCGGCCACCGTGCACGACTTCCAGAGGGAATTCCGCCTGGACCAGGCTCAGGCAAGTGGGCCGTGGGGTAGCGCGGGTCCTGGGTCCCCACCACCCTGGCACACGCAGGCAGCAGGGAAGAGGCCAACGCCAAGGCCAGCCGACCTCGCCTCCCCTTCCTGCACCAGAGCTAATTTCCAAGGACCCGGCAGATCCTGGCCCAACCCATGTGGAGCTCTGGGCAGGCAGGGTACCTTGCCTTTCCCTCACGGGGCCAGTGGTGACCTTCTCTGCCCCTGCCCCACCACAGGCAGCAGCAGGGTGGGCACCCAGGCCTCACCGGCCCCTCCCTGAGAGGTGGTGGCTTGTGGACATCCAGTGGGCCCAGCCTGGTGGGTTGGGGGGGCACATTTCCAAGGTGGAGCTGGGGGAGGCCTGCTGGCAGCAGCGCCCCCGAGGCTCACTCTCTCTCCCCAGGCTCTCGCCATAAGCGACCACTTTCCGGTGGAGGTGACCCTCAAGTCGCACCGATGACCTGAGGCCTGGCTGGGATATGCCACCTGCAGACCCTGGCCTTGAGGAATGGCCCCATAGTGGCCCCTTCAGCATGGCTGCCACCCCTCAGTGAGGCCCCAAGGCAGGTCTGTGGGGCATGGACCAGGGGCCATGGACACCTGATGGGCCGCTCCGAGCCTCCGTTCCCCATCTGTGAGATGAGCTGCATCCACCGACGTCATGGGGTGTTGTGAGGAGCCCCACAAGGGGTGTCAGACACACTGCCCCACAGACATCCACTCAATAAACGGGCTGCTCCCAGCTGGGCCCCGCAGCTTGGCTCTCAAGCTTCTGTCCTTCCTTAGAAACCAGCCCGTCTGGGACCTGGCCTCAGTCTGCAGCCCCACTTCCCTGAGGGAATGCAGCTCAGGGAGATGGGTTCTGGGCCATGGTAGACGCTGGCCACCCTCAGACCCTGCTGGCCCCGGAAGGCAGCTCAGGGACGCTCCTTGCTTGTCCTCTGAAAACTCCAAATGCTCCCAGGAGCCTGTACTGTGAGCACAGCTGGGACAGGGATGGTACTGACACACCAGCCTCCCAGGCTCTCAGGGGTCTCAAAAAGCTCTCCCCAGGCCCACCCTGAAGCCCCCATTCCAGGGCCATGCAGGGAACCCCAGACACTTGTCTTGTCTCAGGGACCTAGTCTCACCCAGCACTGCAAGGGGAAGGTTGGCACCACATCCCAGCTGGTCAGCACCACTAGAGCTTTTGGGGAGCCTGAAAGCAGTGGTGGGGGAGGCTGGACTCCTCTCCCTGCCCAAGCAGGTGGCTAGGGACTAAGGTCCTGTGGCTCAGCCCTTCAAGGGTGCTGCCCTGTGCCCTGGCCTTGAGGAATGGGCACATTCCACACTGACGAACAGGCAGGCCCACGGGTCTACTGGGTCACTGATGGGGCCCAATGAAGTTTCTGGTTTTTGAAACATCACTTCGGACCAGCATGTGGGACCTTAATCACATGGGAGGAAGCACATTTGTTTCAGGGCTTTGGATGAGTTTGGTTCTTGCAAAATCCTTTTTTTGTTGTCTCTCTGTCGCCCAGGCTGGAGTGCAGTGGTGCAATCTCAGCTCACTGCAACCTCCGTCTCCTGGGTTCAAGCAATTCTCTGCCTCAGCCTCCCAAGTAGCTGGGATTACAGGCACCCACCGCCACGCCCTGCTGATTTTTGTATTTTTAGTAGAGACGGGGTTTCACCATGTTGGCCAGGATGGTCCTGAACTCCTGACCTCAAGTGATCCACCTGCCTTGGCCTCCCAAAGTGCTGGGAATTACAGGCATGAGTCCCTGCACCTGGCCATGCAAAATCCTTAAGGGACACTCGAGCTCTGGCAGCACAGCTGCCTCGAGTCCCACTCCTGCCCACTACGGATCCCCCAGTTGCTCCGATTCGCTGTCCACTCTTCAATCAGGTGAATAAGGGCAGCGGCCAAAGGGTTTTCTCTGCGGGGGTCCTGTGTGGGTCATGGGAGCAAAGACCACCTGGCCTTACACCTAAGAGCAGGCAGTCCAAAGGCTGGGGTGGATGACCAGGGACCTGATTTACAATTCTGCCTTGGGAATGTAGACACTCAGTGGTGACCTCACCAGGTCCAGAACGGTGCTCCCTGCCAGTCACAATGCCAAGTCAAAAGGCTGCCCTCCAACCCCCCTTGCCTGCCGGGCACAGGCACCCGTATGTGTGTGTTGGGGGGAAGACAAGGAACAGGACCTTCTCTGTAAGATCAGCAAAACAAAAGGCTGGCAGTAAAGTTGCAAAATACCTTGTTTAAGATCCCACCAGGACCCAGAGGGGCACGTGTGGCTGAAAGCCTGTGGCAGCCCAACTGTTAGCCTTTCTTTTGTTTGAGCCTCTCTAAGTACAGCTGCAAGGACTTCTGGATGGAGTCTCTGGAGATGAAGCTGACAAAGTTCTGCACATCCTCGTCGCGATGTGTGATCAGGCGGCTGGCTGTGGCCTTTCGCATCATGGCCTTGGTCAGCTGTCGGGCATGGTCTAAAGAAAACAGGGCCCACCACTGAAATCCCACTTTTGGGGCAGTGGGGTGACTCCCACCTTATTTAAGACACAGTGTCCCTCTTGTTGCCCAGGCTGGAGTGCAATGGTGCAGTTTCAGCTCACTGCAACCTCTGTCTCCTGGGTTCAAGCGACTCTCCTGCCTCAGCCTCCCAAGTAGCTGGAATTACAGGCATGTGCCACCAGGACAGCTCATTTTATATTTTTAGTAGAGATGGGGTTTCTCCATGTTGGTCAGGCTGGTCTTGAACTCCTGACCTCAGATGATCCCCCAGCCTCAGCTTCCCAAAGTGCTTGGATTATAGGTGTGAGTCACTGCACCTGACCTTTTTTATTTTTTGAGATGGAGTCTTGCTGTGTCGCCCAGGCTGGAGTCCCATGGTGGAATCTTGGCTCACTACCACCTCTGCCTCCTGGGTTCAACTGATTCTCCTGCCTCAGCCTCCTGAGTAGCTGGGATTACAGGTGCCTGCCACCACACCTGGCTAATTTTGTACTTTTAGTAGAGATGGGGTTTTCCCATGTTGGCCAGCTTGTCTCAAACTCCTGACCTCAGGTGACCTGCCTGCCTCCCAAAGTGCTGGGATTATTACAGGCATGAGCTACTGTGCCCTATTTTTTTTTTTATTTTAAAGAGACAGGATCTTATCTGTTGCCCACACTGGACTGAAGTAGGTTGATCACGACTCACTGTACCTTTGAGTTCCTGGGCTCAGGTGATCCTCCCACCTCACCCTCCTGAGTAGCTGGGACTATAGGTGTACACCACACTGCCCGGCCAATTTTTGTATTTTTTGTAGACAGAGGATGTCTTATGTTGCCCAGGCTGGTCTCCAACTCCTGGGTGCAAGTGATCATCCTGCCTCAGCCTCCCAAAGTGCTGGGATTACCGATGTGAGTCACTGCACCTGGCCCCTCCCACCCTTGCTATCAAAGTTCAAACAGTAACTGGGAGAAAACCCGGAGTTTCTGTCCACTGATGATACCGTAAAGATTTTTTTTTTTTTTTGAGACGGAGTTTCGCTCTTGTTACCCAGGCTGGAATGCAATGGCGCGATCTCGGCTCACCGCAACCTCCACCTCCTGGGTTCAGGCAATTCTCCTGCCTCAGCCTCCTGAGTAGCTGGGATTACAGGTACGTGCCACCATGCCCAGCTAATTTTTTGTATTTTTAGTAGAGACGGGGTTTCACCATGTTGACCAGGATGGTCTCGATCTCTCGACCTCGTGATCCACCCGCCTTGGCCTCCCAAAGTGCTGGGATTACAGGCTTGAGCCACCGCGCCCGGCCAAGATTGTGTTTTTTTAATGTGTTACTTTCACTTAATTATATGATGAAGAATATTTCCACGGCACTAAATATCCTTGGGAAATGGCAGCAGGGCCTTCAGTCATTTGTATCAGGGTTGGCAAATCTGCTCCCCAAGACCCTGAAGCTATCAATGGTTTTTCCTTTTTTTTTTTTTTTTTTTGAGACAGAGTCTCTCTCTGTTGTCCAGGCTGGAGTGCAGCGGCGTGATCGTGATCTTGGCTTATTACAACCTCCGCCACCCAGGTCAAGCGATTTCCTTGCCTCGGCCTCCAGGGTAGCTAGGATTACAGGCACCTGCCACCACACTTGGCTAATTTATATATTTTTAGTAGAGATGGGGTTTTGCCATGTGGGCAAGGCTAGTCTCAAATTCTTGATCTCATGTGATCCGCCCACCTCAGCCTCTCAAAGTGCTGGGATTACAGGTGTGAGCCACCGTGCCTGGCTTGTTTTTACATTTTTGAATAGTTGAAAAGAAGGTTAGTACTTTGTGACAAGTGAAAATTATGTGAAACTCAAATTTCAGTGTCCATAAATTATTTTATTTTTTATTTTTAAAATTATTATTATTTTTTTAAAGATGGGGTTTCACCATGATGGCCAAGCTGGTCTTGAACCCCTGACCTCAGGTGATCCATCCACCTCAGCCTCCCAAAGTGCTAGGATTACAGGCGTGAGCCACCACGCCTGGCTAATTTTTTTTTTTGAGATGGAGTCTCGCTCTGTCACCCAGGCTGGAGTGCAGTTGCACAATCTTGGTTCACTGCAACCTCCACCTCCCAAGTTCAAGTGAGTCTCCTGCCTCAGCCTCCCTAGTAGTTGGGATTACAGGCACGTGTCACCATGCCCACTAATTTTTGTATTTTTAGTAGAGATGAGGTTTTATCATGTTGGCCAGAATGGTCTTGAACTCCTGACCTCAAGTGATCTGCCCACCTCAGCCTCCTAAAATGCTGGAATTATAGTGAGCCACCACGCCTGGCCCAGTGTCCATAAAGCTTTGCAGGAACACAGCTACACCCATCACTTTCTGTCTCCCCGGTGGCTGCTTTCTGCTACAAAGGTCTTACCTATAGAACCCACAAGCCACCTGGCCCTTTAGAGACACCATGCTGGGCCCGGGTCTATACCATTGCTGATATGGCCAGACCTATTTCTATGAAATGGACAATTATCTTCGTAGTAGGTTGAAAAGTGTAACCCAAAAGACAGGTCCAAGTCCTAAGCACTGCTCTGGAACCTGGAAGTGTGACCTTATTTGGAAAGTGTCTCTGCAGATGTAATTAAGTTGGGATCATCTTGGATTGTGGGCAGGTCCTAAATCACATGACAGGCGTCCTGAGAAGGTAGAGAGAGATCTGAGACCCAGAGAAACACAGGGGAGAAAGCTGTGTAAGGATGGAGGCAGAGACTAGAGCAAGGCGTCCATGAGCGCTGAAGGCCTGGAGCCAGCAGAATCGGCTGGGGCAGGACGGGGCCTTCCCTGGAACCTGGGGAGGGAGCGCAGCCCTGCCCACACCCCGATTTTGCACCTCTGGTCTCCAGCACCATGGCATCAACTTGTGTGTCTGGGCCAGCCGGTCTGTGCTGCATTGCAACAGCCGTCTCCTGACACCCACACGCTACAATTACAGACAGTCCTCTGCAGGCATGATGTTCACAAAGAACCTTTGCATGGAGAGCCTTCTGGTCTCCCCAGCATCACTGGGCGCTCACCACGCCCTCCACCTCACCTGGAATGGCCATCCACTGGGCGATCACTGACAGCGCCACACTCTGCACCCGCTCCTCCGGCACCACCTGGTCCACTATGCCCACCTGCAGGGCCTGTGCTGGCGGGAAGAGCAGCCCCAGCTGCAGGGCGCGCTCTGCTGCCCGGTGCCCGATGGTGTTCACCAGGGTGTCTTTGAACCTGGAATGCAGGCACCCACTCACCAAGTGGCCTCAGGCTCCCAGGTGTGTCTGTCCCTTCCACGGCAAGTGTGGCATGTGGCTGCAGCCCAGGGCCTTACCAGAAAGGGGCAACAATGCCCAGCAGGGTCTCATTGAGTCCTATGCTGTACTTGGGGTTGTCCGCCAGGATGCGGTGGTCAGAGGTCAGGGCCATCAGGCAGCCTCCGGCGGGGCAGGCTCCCTGCAGGGAGAGGCGAGATGGGGCTCTTAGGTGCTGCTGGTTCCAACTGCGTTCCACAGGGCCGTGCCCTTGGGGCGCCCCTACCCCCTTAGGGCGCTGCAGCCACACAGTCTGGGCTAGGTGTGCACTTGGAAATGGATGGGGAAGGAACTGGCCGTTTAGGGCTTCACAAGGAGGGTCTGAGGCTCATCCTTAGCCAAGGGTCATTAGCTCTTAGGGGACAGAAAAATCACTTTTTTTTTTTTTTTTTTTTTTTTGAGACGGAGTTTCGCTCTTGTTACCCAGGCTGGAGTGCAATGGCGCGATCTCGGCTCACCGCAACCTCCGCCTCCTGGGTTCAGGCAATTCTCCTGCCTCAGCCTCCTGAGTAGCTGGGATTACAGGCACGTGCCGCCATGCCCAGCTAATTTTTTGTATTTTTAGTAGAGACGGGGTTTCACCATGTTGACCAGGATGGTCTCGATCTCTCGACCTCGTGATCCACCCGCCTCGGCCTCCCAAAGTGCTGGGATTACAGGCTTGAGCCACCGCGCCCGGCCTAAAAATCACTTTTTAAAACCTTTCAGTTAGGGGAGCAAGTTGCGTGTCCTCTCAGAGCTTTTACTCAATGCTAAAATGCCACACAAGCATTTAGCCACAGCTGTCATGCCCCTAGGGGGTCCCGTTACCATCCCCAGCAGCCAGCGCCACCAGGATGTCTGGGAACCCCACACTCACCCTGTTGTCACTGCAGACACCCACTGCCCTGCACAGGACCTCACATCTCTCCAGGCCTCCTCTCACACCAGCCCTCCCCTCCGGCCAGGCTCCACCCACACCCAGCTTGTCACAGCCACCCTGAAGGACACCTTGGTTCCCGAGGTTGAGCCCCCACATTGTTCTCAGCCTCCCCTGCCTTCCGCCAGGAAGGGATGGAGTGACGTTTCCAAAATGTGGGTGTGATCACGCACTTACCTACACAGCTTCCACCTGGGCTGGTGTCAACCCCAAGCCCTGGTCCCCATCCCCTGGCTCTTTTCTGGGACTTGTCTGACTCAGGCAAGGCCCCTCACCTGAGGCCCACCTTCCCCTTTTCAACACGCCATTCGGTCTGCAATGGTGCACTCATCTGTGCACGCCTCAGGGTCTCCCCAACTGTTCCTTTCCCCTAGGACAGTCTCCCCCACTGTAGAGGGCAGGAAAGTGTCTGTCCCATCCCCCGGGGCTGGCCCAGGAGAAAGCCAGCAAGGCCCTCTGGGAGTGGGGACACTCACGTTGATGGCAGCGACCAGCACCAGGCTGGACTGGTAGAGCCGCAGCCACAGCTCCTGCACGGCCTTCCAGTATTCGGCATAGTGGGCAGGGCTCCTCCCGCACATCTCCCTCAGGTCCAGGCCAGCTGAGAACACACCGGGGCGGTCCTGCAGGGGAGCCCGGGGCAATGCCTGTCAAAGTCCAGCGGGCCTCACAGCAGCAGGGCTGGGAGCCCAGATGCCCAAGGCATAGCAGGGCCAGGTCAGGCTCAGGGTAGTGGGTGCTGCCCCACGGAGCCAGGACTGGATGGTCTAGGGACTCGGCCTAGGCCTCTGTGGGACCTGGTTTCTCTGTGCTTCCCAGAACATTCTTCCCTTTCCCAGTTCAAGCTGGACAGGAGACGACAGACAGGGTCCGGCACCGCCCCAGGGACATGAGTGCGCCGGCCCTCTGGCTCTGCACGCACGGCTCGGGCGGTGAAGACTCCTGAGAGTCCAGAGGGGGTGCACGTTCTCAATCATTCACTCACAAAGGGCCAAGCAAGCCTCGGAATCCCGTGTGGACCAGCAGGGTGGGAGAATGACCTGCAAGCTGTGGGTTCTTCAGCAGCTACCAAGGAGGGGGTGAGCACAGGTGGAAGGGACCCTCCCACGGCTAGAGTAATGGGTGCCAGCACAGGAGCCTGAGACACCCAGTCAGGGCTGCTGGCCAGGCACACAGGCTCGGGGAGGAGTGCAAAATCCACCCGGGGCCCCTGCATGGTCGCAGCCCCCTGAGCAAATGACAAAGGCGCCTTCCCTCGGCACGGCACATTCTCCTCCTGAAGCTGTGAGTGGACTTGTTCCTGCAGCCAGACCCAGCTCACCCTGACTCACAGAAGCAGAACTGGGCGGATGTTTACCCCACACCGTATGCTGGAAGGAGGCCGACAACCACCTCATGTGTGTGAGGAGGGGACAGATGGGACCCCCTCCACATCCTTAGGTCATGTGAAAAAGCCAGGAGCAGCGCGGGTCTGCAACGCAGCTCTGCCGTTCTCACACCGACAACGTGAGCTGGTGCCGTGCAGAACGGGTAGGCCGGTCCTTTGTTTCTGCAAAATGCATTCTACTTCTGTCACTCATGACCCAGGCCCGGCTGGTGGCTCATGCCTGTAATCCCAGAGTTTTGGGAGGTCAAGATGGGAGGACTGCTTGAGGCCGGGAGTTCGAGACCAGCCTGGGCAACATAGCAAGACCCCATCTGTACAAAAAAGTAAAAATGGAGCAAAAAAAAATTAACCAAGTACAATGGCTCACCCCTGTAAACCTAGCAAACTGGGAGGCTGAGATGGGAGGAGTGTTTGAGCCCAGGAGTTCAAGACCAACTTGGGCAACACAGTGAGATACTGTCTCTACCAAAAACTTAAAAATTTTAAAATTCTTCAACATTCAAGAATCATCTGAACCCAGGAGGCGGAGGGTGTAGTAAGCCAAGATCGCGTCACTGCACTCCAGCCTGGGCAACAGAGGGAGATTCCATCTCAATAAATACGTAAGGCCAGACACGGTGGCTCATGCCTATAATCCCTGCACTTGGGGAGGCTGAGGCAGGTGGATCACTTGAGGTCAGGAGTTCCAGGCCAGGCCCTGTAAAACCACCCACGCCTCCAAGGATGCCTCGCTCCCCTCACTTCCACCATGGTCCACGTCCCCTCAGGGCTCCCATCCTCCTGGGCCTGAAAAGACACTGCTTATTGCCCCTCCTCGACCTTGGTAATGAAGCTGTTCCCACAGATGCCATGCCTCGTGTTTGCCAGCACTTAGGCAACGCCCAGAGTCCCCTGCACAGGAGCTTAGACCAAGGAAGTTTACCCCTCGGAGAACTCGGCCTGAAGACCAGCCCACAGAGGACCAGAGAGTGTGGGCACTGTTCGCAGGACTGGCTTGGGGCACCCAGGTCACACTAGTGGGGAGCACCCAAGGACCCCACAGACGCATGGCTCCCCCTCACCCGCTCCCCGCCAGCTCTCCCCAGTGCCTGCCTGGATGATGCCTGGGCCGGGAAGGCTGTCTTCAAGGCTGGTCCACCTTCACTGTCAGGAATGATCTGCTTGAGGCCCATGGCAGTTTGGATCCCTGCTGGGAGCCTCCTGTGGAGGCACCTGGAGTCCAGGGTGGTGGGGCTGCTGGGCCATCCCTCGCCACACGCGGGCAGGCTCTGCCTCTTCCCACGTGCAACAACAGGCCTGTGCTCCGATCAGAGAACTGGGGCCAAGAGCTTGAGTGGGGGTGGGGAGCTGAAGTGGCACCTACCGAGGTAATGATGAGACCTCGGAAGCTCTTGTCATTCTCCAGCTTCTCCAGGCTAATGACCAGCTCTGTCAGAAACTCCAGGCTGAGAGTGTTCACTGGGGGGTTGTTGAATCTCATCACAGCGACCCCTAATTTAAAGAAGGAAGAAAGAGAAAGCTCACATCCGGCACTGGAAAAGTACCCTGACCAGCCTGTACCCTCAACCAAGCCATGGTAGCTTCGTGTTTTGGGTGTTTTTTTTTTTTTTTTAATTAACCATTACTTTTGACACAGGGTCTCACTCTATTGCCCAGGCTGCAGTGCAGGGGCATGATCTCAGCTCACTGAGCCTTAGACCTCTTGGGCTCCAATGATCCTCCCACCTCAGCCTACTGAGTAGCTGGGATTACAGGCATGCACCACCATGCCCAGTTAATTAAAAAAAATTTTTTTTTTTGAGATGCAGTCTCACCCTGTTACCAGGCGCAATGTCAGCTCCTTGCAACCTCTGCCTCTTGGGTTCAGGCAATTCTTCTGCCTCAGCCTCTGGAGTAGCTAAAACTACAGGTGTGTGCCACCACGCCCAGCTACTATTACATTTTCAGTAGAGATTGGGTTTCACCAAGTTGACCAGGATGGTCTCGATCTGTTGACATTGTGATCCTCTCACCTCAGACTGCTGAGTAGCTGGGATTACAGGCATGCACCACCATGCCCAGTTAATTAAAAAAAAAATTTTTTTTTTTTTTTTTTTTTTTTTTGAGACAGTTTCACTCTTGTTACCCAGGCTGGAGTGCAATGGCGCGATCTCGGCTCACTGCAACCTCCGCCTCCTGGGTTCAGGCAATTCTCCTGCCTCAGCCTCCTGAGTAGCTGGGATTACAGGCACGCGCCACCATGCCCAGCTAATTTTTTTGTTATTTTCAGTAGAGATGGGATTTCACCATGTTGACCAGGATGGTCTCGATCTCTTGACCTCGTGATCCACCCTCCTCGGCCTCCCAAAGTGCTGGGATTACAGGCTTGAGCCACCGCGCCCGGCCTTAAAAAAAATTTTTTTTTTGAGATGCAGTCTCACTCTGTTACCAGGCGGAATCTCAGCTTCTTGCAACCTCTGCCTCCTAGGTTCAGGCAATTCTTCTGCCTCAGCCTCCGGAGTAGCTAAAACTACAGGTGTGCGCCACCACGCCCAGCTACTATTATATTTTCAGTAGAGACAGGGTTTCACCAAGTTGACCAGGATGGTCTTGATCTGTTGACATTGTGATCCGCCCACCTCAGTCTCCCAAAGTGCTGGGATTACAGGTATGAGCCACTGTGCCCAGCAATTTTTTTAGGGGAGACGAAGTCTCATTTTGTTGCCTAGGCTGGTCTTGAACTCCTGAGCTCAAGCAGTCCTCAGGCTCCCAAAGTGCTGGACTGCATGAGTGAGCCGGGGTTTTTTTTTAAATTGAAGTAAGAGCCATATAATAAAAATTAACCATTTTATTTATTCTATAGAAACTGCATGCTTTTTAAATGAACCATTTTATTTTTGGACAAGGAGTTTTATTTTTTATTTTATTTATTTTTTATTTTTTAAAAAAGAAATTTGACTTTAAAAAAGTTTTTTTTTTTTTAAGATGGATTTCACCATGCTGGCCAGGCTGGTCTTGAACTCTTGACCTCAGGTGATCCACCCACCTTGGCCTCCCAAAGTTCTAGGATTATAGGCATGAACCACCACGCCCGGCCCTAAAATTGTTTTTACTTAAAAGAAATAGAGACAGGAGTTTTTTCACTATGATGATGGCTAGGATGGTCTCGAACTCCTGACCTCGTGATCCACCCGCCTCAGCCCCCCAAACTGCTGGGATTACAGGTGTGAGCCACCGCGCCCCGCCGGACAAGGAGTCTTGCTCTGTTGCCCATGCTGGAGTGCGGCAGCATGATCTTGGCTCACTGCAACCACCATCTCCTGGGTTGAAGCCATTCTTCTGCCTCAGCCTCCCGAGAAGCTGGGATTACAGATGCGTGCCACCTTCCCCAACTAATTTCTTTTTTGAGACAGAGTCTTGATCTGTCACCAGGCTGGAGTGCAGTGGCACGATCTTGGCTCACTGCAACCTCTGTCTCCCAGTTTCAAGCAATTCTCCTGCCTCAACCTCCTGAGTAGCTGAGACTACAGGCGCATGCCACCATGCCCAGCTGATTTTTGTATTTTAGTAGAGACGGGGTTTCACTATGTTGGCCAGGATGGTCTTAATCTCTTGACCTTGTGATCCGGCCTCCCAAAGTGCTGGGATTACAGGCATGAGCCACTGTGCCCAGCCTATTTTATTTTTTTGAGATGGAGTCTTGTTCTGTCACCCAGGGTAGAGTACAGTGGTGCAATCTCATCTCACTGCAACCTTTGCCTCCCGGGTTCAAGCAATTCTTGTGCCTCAGCCTCCCGAGGAGCTGGGATTACAGGAGTGGGTCACGATGGCTGGCTACTTTTTGTATTTTTAGTAGATAGGATTTCACCATGTTGGTCAGGCTGGTCTCGAACTCCTGACATCAGGTAATCCACCTGCCTCGGTTTCCCAAAGTGCTGGGATTACAGGCGTAAGCCACCACACCCGGCCTTATTTATTTATTGAGACGGAGTCTCCCTCTGTCACCCAGGCTGGAGTGCAGTGACTCAACTGTGGCTCACTGCCACCTCAACCTCCTGGGTTCAAGCCATTCTCCTGCCTCAGCCTCCCGAGTAGCTGGGATTACAGGCGTGCACCACCATACCCAGCTAATTTTTGTATTTTTAGTAGAGACGGGGTTTCACCATGCTGGCCAGGCTGGTCTTGAACTCCTGAACTCAGGTGATCTGCCCACCTTGGCCTCCCAAAGTGCTGGGATTACATATGTGAGCCACGGCGCCCGGCTGGTCTCACTTCTCCGAAACTCCTGTCTTCCCCTCACACATCGCTGCACTTAAGCTCTGCTACCTAAACACCTAGTTGTAGTCGGTCTGGGAGATGGATTCAAGACTGAGTTCTAGCTCCTCAACTGCAGTAGGCAATTACAGCCTTCTTCCTTAGCAATACTCGTCATCTCAGTCATTGGCTTTCTATTTGAGACAACGTTGTCACTCAGGCCGGAGTAAAGTGGTGTGATCTCGCCTCACTCTAACCTGCACCTCCCAGTTTTTAATTTTTTAATTTTTATTTTTTTAAGATGGGGGTTTGTTGGTCAGGCTGGTCTTGAACTCCCAACCTCAGGTGATCCACCCTCCTTGGCCTCCAAAGTGCTTGGATTACAGTCGTGAGCCAACACGCCTGGCCGTGCCTCCCGGTTTCAAGTGATTCTCCTGCCTCAGTATCCCGAGAAGCTGAGACTATAGGCAAGAGCCTCCATACCCAGCTAATTTTTTTGCACCTCTACACTCAGCTAATTATTATTATTTTTGAGATGGAGTCTCACTTTGTTGCCAGGCTGGAGTGCAGTGGCACAATCTCGGCTTACTGCAAACTCCGTCTCCTGGGTTCAAGTGATTCTCCTGCCTCCGCCCCCCATGTAGTTGGGATCACAGGTGCCTGCCACCGCGCCCGGCTAATTTTTTGCATTTTTAGTAGAGACGAGGTTTCAATATGTTGGCCAGGCTGGTCTCAAATACCTGACCTCTGTGATCTGCCGACCTCGGCCTCCCAAACAGTTGGCCAGGCTGGTCTTGAACACCTGACCTCATGATCTGCCCACCTCCGCCTCCCAAATTGTTGGGATTACAGGTGTGAGCCATCAGGCCTGGCCATGCTAGGTGTATTTTAAACATTTTTAGGTACACATACACACACACACACACCCTCCAGTAGAAAAGGAAGTGTTGGTGAAATGACAATTTTTTACCCGAGTGCCTCCCTATGCCACCATAGCAAAAGACGAAATGGAGTTTGGGGTCAGAAAGCCAGGTCTGACTGTCCTCACTCTCTGAATAGCCTGACGTGTTGAAATGGAAGTTAAGATCCGTTTACCCTTCAGGTAATCTTGTGGCTTGGATGCAAATGCTTTAGGGAATGTTTTCCCTTGGCCAGGCCCGGTGGTTCATGCTGTAATCCCAGCACTTTGGGAGGTCAAGGCAGACGGATTACCTGACCTACATGGTGAAACCCTGTCTCTGCTAAAAATACAAAAATTAGCTGGGCATGGTGGTCGGCGCCTGTAGTCCCAGCTACCTGGGAGGCTGAGGCAGAATTGCTTGAACCCAGGAGGCGGAGGTTGCAGTGAGAGGAGTTTGTAGTTGGGCCTTAACAGGGGCCCGCCCCCTCACCACCTCACCCAAGCAGCTCCCGCAGCCCAGAGAGGTTGGAACTGTTCTGAAGCACAGGGAGCCCGGTGTCCTGAAGCTGTGCCAAGTGAGGGCACAGCCCTGAGTTTGAGGGGTTGGGGAGGGCAGGGGTTGTGACCTATTTGCGGAGGAGGAGGGCCTCCTCTCAGGACCCACAACAGGGCCCCGGTGGAAAGGCCGAGGCCTGCAGCGCGAGGCCCGGGGTCAGCATGTCCTGGAAGCGGAACTGCAGCCGCCTGGGTCATGCCCTCTCGGTGCCCTCAGCTCGGCCTCCTGCCTGGAGGGAGCGCGCAGGCTTCTCTTTCAAAAGCGCCTTTCCTATTCCTTCTGGTGGGTTTTACTAAGGGTTCTGATGGTGGATACGAGGTTCTGTGCCACATGGGACTGTTAAACAACATCATTTTATTCCAAAATATTCCAGTTCTTTTCCACTTCCAGTTGAACAGCTTAGGTAACATAACATATCCCCGCCAACTTCAGAAACAGAAACTTTTATCTCATGACGAACGAACCCAGGTAGAGCAACAACGTTCTGTTTAGAAACTGAGCGTCGATAGACGCGGTTCTCCGACGCCGCCCCGCGAACGCGGACCCACGCGGGTCTCGGCCCCGTGCCCGCCCGCCCTCGGCGCCGCCCGCTCACCTGCGCTCGCGTCCGGCTCCACCAGCACCCGCTGGCTCCCGAAGCGCCGCGCGCCGTCCCGGCCGCCGGCCGCCTGCTCCGCCAGCCCGAGGGCCGCGCCCTGGAGCCGGGCCCCTGGGAAGGCAGGGTGGAGGAGCCCGTTAGTCCCCGGCCGCGGCTGGGCCGCGACCCCGACCCCGACCCCAACCCCCGCCCGCCCCGGGTCTCGCACCCGCGCGGAGCAAGATGCACGCCGGGACTCGCCGAGCAGCCGCCAGCGCCATCTTGAACAGACCGCGCCAGGCCGGGGTCGCGGCCCGGCCTTGCCTCGTGAGAAATCGGCCCGAGTTCACCCTGGGACCAGGCCCCGCCCCGTTCCCGGAGTCTGGTCGCTGCCTCCACCTCCGGGTCGAGGCCGCCGCCCGCTGGGTTCATCCCATCGTCCCAGGCAGCCGCGCGCTTCCGGGACAGGCACCTGGCTCTGGGCCAGGGCTGCCCTGCAGGAAGGCGCAGGGAGAAGCCGGCCCTCTGCAGACGCAGCCACGACCCGCGCGGCGCCAGGGCAGGCTCTTCTTCAGCGCGGGGCACTGTAGGCAGGAGGCTGCCGGTGCTCAGGTGAGCTCGAGCTCTCGGCCAGGCTGAGCTACCGCAGCACCGGCATTGGAAAGGCGATCTGAGCACCGAGCCCCACGCTGGGGAGAGGGGGTGGGGGAGCATGAGGGAGGTCAGGGGCTGCCTGGGCTGAGCCCGGCGGTAAGAACAGGCCACCGGCCTTGCCCAGTACAAGGGCAAATGCACAAAGGCTGAACCGTAGTGGTTTTATTTGCAGAGAAATGCCGAAGGATAAGAACAGAGTCTGTTCCCGCTGGGCCATGAGTCGGGGTTAGGGAGTGGGGCCTTTGTACTGTCTGGTGTGGGGTCTTGGTCCGACCACTGGGAGCACCGGGCAGTGAGGTGCTAGCAGTGTTCGGTGGTCTCAACTTTGGTTTTTTTTTTTTTTTTGAGACGGAGTTTCGCTCGTTACCCAGGCTGGAGTGCAATGGCGCGATCTCGGCTCACCGCAACCTCCCCCTCCTGGGTTCAGGTAATTCTCCAGCCACAGCCTCCTGAGTAGCTGGGATTACAGGCACACACCACCATGCCCAGCTAATTTTTTTGCACTTTTAGTAGAGACGGGGTTTCACCATGTTGACCAGGATGGTCTCGATCTCTCGACCTCGTGATCCACCCGCCTCGGCCTCCCAAAGTGCTGGGATTACAGGTTTGAGCCACCGCGACCGGCCTCAACTTTGGTTCTTAAGATGTTAAGCATTTAAGAGTCTTCTTGTGTCCCAAACCAATTTCTGAGGTGGAGAAATGGCCACTTAATGGAGGAGGAAGCAAGCCTGGCATGGCAACACATGCCTGTAATCCCAGTGACTCAGGACCAGCTGGGCAACACAGCAACAACCCGTTGCTACAAAAAATTTACAACACACACACATACACACACACGCTCTCTGCACGTTCAAACAAAACTAACTGCGTGTTTCTGGTCAGGAAGAAACTGCAGCTTCCGAGGTGGTAAAAATCAGCCTGGACAACACAGTGAGACTCAACACACACACACACACACTCTCTCTTTCTCTCCATCTTTCTGGTCAGGTAGAAATTCCAGCTTCAGAGAAGGTAATAAGAACACCTCCTTCTCCTGTTTGCCCACCACAGGAGCAACCTAATACCCACAGCACACAAACCCTAGGTTCTCCTGCCTGAAAGCATTGGAGGTGCCACTGTGGATCATGAGTAGCAGCTACTAAGGGGGCGAGGGAACAGTGAGAAGGCAGTGAACCCAGTACTAGACCTGCATTCCAATCCTGCATTTATTTAACACAGTTCTTCCACTCTACACAATAAAGTACAAACACAATGTCATCTAAAATGCTACAAAGTTTTAAAACTCAAATTTTATAGTACTGACTGTACAATTAAAGCCAAAAAAAAAAAAAAAAAAAGAAAAAAAAAAAAGAAAAAAAGCATGTACATGTTGCTAGGTAACCTGAAGGGCAGGCACAACTGGGGCTGCATGGTGACCCAGCAAAGCTGGCTTCAACTCGATGGGGTGGTGTGTGTGCATGGGTGCAGGGACAGAGAGAACCATGCACAGCAACTACTGTGGGTGAGAGGCTCTCCAGGGGTGTGTGATCCTGGAAGTCAGAAGAGGCCTCGAGAGGCCAGGCCTAACAGGGTTGGCAGCTGCACTAAAGTAAAGCCCAGGACAGCTCCCTTTCCAAAAGGACACCATACAGCAACAGCAAGGGCAAGGCCTGGCCACCATCCCTGGTCACCAGGGACGGGAAATGTGTGCTCCCAGGCAGGCAGGCAGGGTCACACCCCCCTCCCCCCAGCCTCACTCATCCCTGGTGGCTGTGTCACTGAACTGACTCTCAAACTGAAAACGGGTGAGCTTTCCAGCCAGAAACTCAGAGGGTATCTTGGCAGGCACAACACACACCAACAGCACTTCTGCAGCCAGAGCCCAGCCGGCGGCAAAGGGGTGCTGCCTGCTGCCTGCAATGCCTGCCCAAGTGAGGGGTTTGCTTTCCTACTGATCTTCCTTTGGCTAGAAAAGTGACGAAACTGAGCTGGGTGGGGTATAAGTTACAGGGGTGAGAGATTCAGCGGCCTGCTTAACGGGAGGAGTTGGAGCTGGAGCGGCTCCTGTGGCGGCGGCGGCCTGGGGAACGTGATCGCCGGCGTACAGGGGACCTGCGCCTTGGGGACCGGGATCTGCAGGAAGAGGAGAAACCACATCAGAAGAGTTCGGACTGTAGGAGCAAGCTAGCTTCTTTTTGGGCAATTCTCCATAGTTTTACTTTTTAGTACTAGAAGTTGGGACAGGTCCCACCTGATGGGCCTGCCTGAGCTTTTGGGAACGGCTGCTCATGAGACCCAAGGCAGAAGCCCAGGCTTTCTTCCTCTTCCCCAAAGGCTGAAAACATAGCTCACCACTGGCAAGAGAAGGCCAAACTGTGGCCTTTGGCAAGGGATTACCATCCCCACCTCCCACCAACTCCTCTGACACCCAACTTCCTCCTCTCCTAGCCCTTCTTGTTAGCTCAGAAAAAAGTGGGCCTGCACCTGGTCTAACGGTCTCCTGGGAAGGCCACGTCACGCCATGTCACTGCTCAGACTTACAAAGCTGTGTTGGTGCACACTAGGGCCTCTCCTCCTGTTGCTCACCGCAGCTGTGACCCTCCTGCTTTCCCCATGAGCTCTGACGGGGAGCTCTACTCTCTTGCCACCCCTAACCCACACAGCAGTGGAAGGCAGGCAGGGCTGAATAAAGGGTCCGAAGTCACTGCGGTCACATGAGGTTTGTGGCCTGATCAGTTGAAACTACAAATTGTTTACCTTCTCCTCATCCGTGGGGGAGACCTGCGCCACATGGGTGGTGGTGGCAGCATTCTCCTGGGAGGGCTGAATCGCCTGGGGGGTGGTCTAGGCCAGGGTGCCAGCACAGCGGTGGCAGTGATCTCCTGGCCATCAATTTGTCCTGTTTAAAAAGAGAGCAAGTCATGAAATATCTAGCAAGCATCTACCCTAGACAAAGCATGCCACAGTGAACAAGACAGGCCTGGTGGGACAATGACAACGTAAGATAATCATGGAAATAACAACATTATGAGTAACATTTCATGAGGAAAGGAGTCGTGGAACAGAAAAGGAGATACCGATCTCGTGCGGAGGCATCCTCCCACATCAAAAGTTACGCAAGTCAAGAGCTAAAGAATGTGCTGGAGGCCAGGCCAGGAGTTCACAAGGTCAGGAGTTCCATACCAGCCAATATGGTGAAACCCCTTCTCTACTAAAAATTCAAAAAAATTAGCGAGGTGTGGTGGTGCATGCCTGTAACTGCAGCTACTTGGGAGGCTGAGAATGTCTTGAACCTGGGGCGGAGTTTGCACTGAGCTGAGATCACACTGCACTGCAGCCTGGGCAAGAGTGAGAGTTCATCTCAAAAAGAAGGGGAAGAAAAAGTGCTGAAATCCACTAGGTGGAACAGAAGGGATTTATGCCTTGCCCCGAGCTGTGAAGGACCACAGTGCTCTGAGAAGGCAGCAGCGAGAGTGAGTGACGAGGCGAACAGAAGGCCTGAGGGTCAGGGTGGGGCCTCCTGGCAGGCCATGCAGGTGGTATCCACATTTGCACTTCCTTCTCCTACAAAGGGAAGCTGGGTCTGGGGCCAAGAGAAGGGGAAGACCTGTTAGGAGGGCTCTGTGGCACTGAGAGGGGCATGAGTCAACGTCAAATCAAATGGTAGGAAAGGGAAAGGATTTAGGGGTAACTGGGAAGTGAAGTTGCCAGAGCTTGGTGGTGAACAGGATGGAGGTGATGTGGGACAGTCAACATGAGCTTCCATTCATGGAGAGGTGGGGCTCCAGAGGGGAGCAGCATAAAGGAAGTTTCAGGAAATACTGAGGACTCTGTGTTTGGAAACAAGCAGTCTGAGAGAGGTGGCTCTCTGCATGTGGACGGCACTGAAACACAAGCCATGTGCGTACAACGGGGTGGCAAGAACTGAGGAGAGGCAGTGTGGGACAGGGGCTCCCAGGAGAGAGGAAAGGAAATGGAGGTACAAACCCAGGAACCCCAGGGGAGCATGTGCCCCAACCTCAAGAACTGTCTGGTAGCTGGGGATATCAGGAGCCTAAGCGCAGCCCCTTCTATGCCCTAAAGGGTAAAGGGCTCTTTTGTTTTCTCCACTCCTACCTTCAAGGCACCTTCAGAGTACATGGGGACTAACCTGGGCACAGGGATATGTATTCAGAACATACTTAAGAGGTTTAACTTCAGTAAACTCAGCCCAAATGAGCCCAAATTAGGGATTTCACAGCACTGACTCTAGAATAATGAAGAAAAATCCGTCTCTGTCTAGCTACCAGTAAAGGCCAACCCCTTCTCATTTTCTCTTGGACACAGTGTGGACTCACTCTATTCAATGACAGTATGGGGACAAACAAAAAAATCCTACCAGAATCTTAAGAAAAGTTGGAATGTCTATAATCATGCCCACCTAGAAGGTACCCGGGTCTCCTTTGTTTTTAGCTCAGCAAGTGCTCAGACTGTCAAATAGCAGATAATCAGCAGACTCCAAAGCAAAGGTGTGACTCACAAGGTCAAAAGCTGATGTGAGTACACAGAGCTCCTAACCCATTTCAGAAGAACTTAAGTAACTTGAAAGAGTAGTTACTCAAGTATCAAGGAAACATTCCTGATGTCTCAACTCTACCAGAGCTCAAAGGCAATTACTAAAAAAAAACAGTTAAGCTATTTATAAAGTTTTTAACAGGGCCTCAGAGGACGCAAGGTTCTGGGGCACGCACACCCTGCTCTCCACCAGCCCTGGTGGCCCAGATGGCAGAGTGGGCTAACTGTTCACAGTGCCAGCCGCCTTGGTCACACAGCAGCAGGGAGCAGAGAAGAGATGACTCCA